CTCGCCCGGGAGCTCGGCTACGACGTCCTGGACCCCCCGACGTGGCGGTTAACCCCGGCGGAGCTGCAGGGCTGTCTGGGCTGCTGCGCCGAGGCGATCGCGCAGGCCACCTTCTCCGCGACCTACCCCCGTTATTGCCTCCGCGAGGTCAGCGACGGGGGGCGGCCGTACGCGCAGGCCACCGTGCTCCGCGCGGGCCCGCCGTCGCGCCAGATCGCCACGGTGGTGATCTCGAACGGCATGGACGGCTACGGCAACCTGCGCGCGACGATCACGCAGCTCAAACGGGCGCTCCACCGCGGCCTCGCCCGGGCGGATCGCCTGACGGCGTTTCAACTCCAATGCCTGGCGATCGCCGACGTGTCGGATCTCGTGCATCTCGAGTTGAGCGCCACCCACGTCGCGTTTCGCCGCCGCGGCCTGGCGAAACTCGCGATGGCGATGGAGCTCCTCAAATGGGCCCTCCGCGGCCGCACCCGGGCGTATTTGAACATGGCGATCGAAAAACACCTCGTGGGGGACCGCGCCCGCGTCGAGTTCGCCTCCTCGCCGGCGTCGCGGCGGTTGTATGAGGTCTTCGGCTTCCTCGACGTCTTCCCGCGATTCGACGAGGAGACGGGAAAGGAGCGGTGGACCGCGAAGGAGGCGGATATGGGGCGCGTGATGGCGAATCTCGATTTCCTCCCCCACGTCATCGCGGTCGCGGAAGGGTTGTTGGAACGCCATCGACGATCTCGCGAAGGGGGGGATTCGAACCCGACCCCGTCCACGAACGCGCATGCGAATGCGTTGGTCTTTCGTCGCCGGGAGGACGCGGGGGCCGGGAATCCGACGGAAGGAAGGGATCCCCCGCGAGGACGCCCCGCCGTGCAGGAGAAACGGCAACGCGAGATCGCATCCGACGCGTCGGGCGTTTTGCCGCCCTCAAAACGAAAACTATCCCTCCTAAACCCGGAATCTTAATGACGAAATAGAAGAAAACGTGGTAGGCTGCTTTTATTTAGCCAAGCGGACGGGGAGGCGAACGGCATGCGTAAGGGCAGACGCAATCCGCCTTTTTCATATTGAGGGCAAAAGGAAGGTCGAGCTCGGGTGTGGCCATTCGTCTTTCTTGGATGGTAGCGCGTGAAGAAGCTACCAAATAGGGGGGGGGGGGGGGAGTTATTCCTGTTTTCTTCCCATTCCACTCCTACGGGCGGAAATGTCGCACCCGTCATTAGATGGGGGTGGGAAAACGGTGAGAGGTGACTTACAAGGCGAGCTCCTTCGCGTTTTGTAAGTATTTTTTGGGAATGAATTTTATACAATTAGTGTATACTGCATGTTGGTATCATCCTTCTTCCATGACATGTTGTATTATATAAGGAAGAAAGCTCTTTACACGAAAGTCCTTTTGGTGTCCTTGGAAGTCTCCCACCGCTTCACCTAGTGTGGTGGGTTGCTCTCTTTGATTTCCTATTGTATCCCCAACCCAGCAACCCTGCCTTTCCTGTTGATTTTCTCATCCAAGAGGCGTCGTGATAGCCTAAAAGTATTGTTTGGATCACATATCAATATCTATATCTATATATATATATAGATATATCGATATCTATATTAGGATCCATATTTTGGAATCCTTTATCGAAAAGTTACTGGTGTTCCCTAGCACCATAATTCGCTCCCCCGCATCGCGTGTTCCATCCCTAACGGTTTGCACCGGAAACCTTAAAAAAAAAAAAACGACAGGAGGATAAAACCAGGATCTCCATCCTCGTTGAGGTCGAGTTCCCTCCTTTTTTATTATTCTTATTTGGTTCCCCATGTTTCGCCGGGCGTCTTCGTGGCGGAAGGCACTGACGCTGCCGCAGATGTTTCGCAAACTGAAGCTCGCCGGGGCGCACCCCGACGTCCTTTGGGGGATCGACGCCGAAAAAGCGCAGCACAACGGGGAGGAGATGATTCGCCTCGAGACGCTCCTGCACGAGCGGGAAAACGGCACCTGGGGGCAGGCCCCCCCCCCTTCGTCCACCCTCCCGACCCCGCCCAACGCGCCGGTGCATTTTCTGTTTTGGATGAAACCCCCGGATCCCGCCTCGGCAGGGGAGTTGCGGGCCGTCCGCGCGAGCCTGACCCCGGCGGCGGCGGATTCGA